CGCCCCGGGTACCCGAGTCTCCAATAAAGCCTCTTGTTTTTGCATCCAAGTTCGTGGCCTCGATGATTCCTGGGTGTGGGTCTCCCTCTACGAAAGTACCTCTTCGGGGGTCTTTCACCTGGAGTGGGGTCAGCAGAGTTTGTGGGGAGGGGGAGAGAGGGAGGGAGGAAGAGAGACAAAGAGAGAGAGGGAGGGAGAGGGAGGAAGGGGGGAGAGAGAGGGGGGAGGGAGAGAGAGAGAGAGAGAGAGAGAGAGAGAGAGAGAGAGAGAGAGAGAGAGACTCATTGACTTTTTCTGACACAGGAGGGCTTCGGGGAGCAGAAGTAGGAACAAATATCCACCCCAAAGCAAAAGCAGGACTGCACCCAGCGCCTGATGTGAAGGAGGAAATGGGAAACAGCTTGTTGGAGGGTGGGGAAAAGAATTCAGGAACTGCTGGGGTAGGGCTGCTGAAGAGGGGGCTGGGAGAAGCTGGCTAATTGAGACCAGCTGTTGCTCCTGGATCTCCGAGATCTTTGGACTCTGCCCTGGAGCAGGCTCACACCCTACTCCAAGACACAAGAAAGCAGCACAGGTTACCTGGGCTCCTCTGCCCTCTGTGGCTTCCCAGACTTCTCTGAAACAAAAGATTAGAGAAGGATCCTCATCCAGCAGCAGGACACAGCCGTCAAGGTTGCCTGCCCCTGCCCAGAGAAAGCCAGGAGGAAGAGGCCACCAGACAACCCAGTCCTCTCCCCTGTCCCTTGATCTACTCATCGCCAGCATCTGGAGACCCAATGGCCCAAGCCCACTGGTGCTGCTACCCCTGGCTTGTTCTCCTCTGTGGTATGTGCCCCCCACCCTCTCCTGGAAGACAGCTCTGGACTTTCTCCCCAGGCTCAGAAAAGTTTGCAGTCAGGGCTAGGACCCCAGGTTATCTCTTTTCTCTTTGTCCCTGTGTCTTGAAGAAAAAGACCACCTGCAGGGCTTTCATGACTTGGATCAAGTCTAGTTTGGCAACTTTCCACCCCATGCCATATTATTGCAGCATTCATTGGGTTGGTGACTTTTTAAAAGATGACTGTACTAAGGGCCTTGCAGAAGGAAGACAGGTAGGGCACACACACCACACAGACTGTTAGAGATTTAGAACCATTGAAGACTGGAGGACTTGCTGCCCAGAAAGTTACTAAGAGGAACTTGAACCCTTGAAGGTCCAAGGATAGAGAATTCTTGCTAAACTGACTTAACAGGATTCTTGTTGAAGGCAGGTGTCAAGGGCAGGGGAATAGGAAATCTGATCCACACTTGAAGGTGATCAGATATTAAAGAGTGGGGATTCTCCCTAAACTGACTTAGCAGAATTCTTGCTAAGACAATAAAGGCCTGGCGGCACAGGGCAAGTACAAAACGTCAGTGCTGAGGTCTTGTCAAGAGAAGAGATCAACCAGAGAATGTTACATCACATCTGTGGTGCCCTGTTTGTTTCCAACCAGGTACCCAGTTCAGCTCCCCACCCCTATCCCTGGTTCCTGGGGAAATCTTTCTTTGTTCTCTGCCAGCAGTACCTGCTCATTAATTCACCATCCAGTGAATGAATGTCTCCTGAATACCCCTGTGGTACAGAGAGAGAGTGAGTGAGTGATAGATTCTGGTGCTCAGAGGAAAGTGGATTGGCTGGGTCCCACAACCTAGGTTGGCAACTTAGCGTTGTCATTTTGCTAGAGAGCTGCTCCTACAGAACTGGGGGGGGGGTTGTTTCCTTAGGTTAACAGCATTGTTCCTTTGAGTTTATGAGGCCAAGTTATGATGTTACAGCCCAGCTACTTTCCTCATATTTGTCAAGCCACTTGTAAGATAGAAGGATGGCATCTCCCTGTACTCAGTCCTCCATGGCCTCCAGGGAAGTATGTGCCCTAAGTCTCAAGAGATGGAAAGAGGGACTCTAAGAGGTCATTGGACTTTCAGGTCAGGAAAGGTCTCTAATCTAGGCCTCCTTTACACAGCCTCAGAGCTAAGAGATATAGCCTAGTGCCTGGCACATAGTAGGCACTTAAAAAAAAGATATGTTCAGTGAATATTGGGGGGGTGTTTTTTTTTTTTTTTTTTTTTTTTTTTTTGGTTTTTCAAGACATTGTTTCTCTGTAGCTTTCGGCTTTGGAGCCTGTCCTGGAATCACTCTGTATACCAGGCTGGCCTTGAAATCACAGAGATCCAACTGCCTCTGACTCCCGAGTGCTGAGATTAAAGATATGCACCTCAGCCACGGTTGCCACCACTGCCACCACCACTACTACCACCAACCCTAGCATGGGGTAGGGTCCTTTCTTAGGATCATACCAAATTCGGTACAGAGCCCAAGCTGGAAACTAGATCTCTGTGGCCCTTTTGTGGCACCTCCCCTTTTCCAGGACCACTTTCTATGCTTGATGGAAAGAGAACCCCTATTTATTTGGTGGTTACAAGAACTAAAACTGGGGAGTTTTTAATTTTTTGAAGTATGCAAATACTTTGCCACTGAGCCACACAGCCAATGCCACCCTCTGCCCTCTCCTTAGACAGCCTGGGTTCAAATCTCCATCTAACCACTGATTCACTGTGGCAAAACCTGAACAAATTATGAAACCTACCAGTACCTTGGCATCTTGCATTATAGAAGATGAATAATCATACATTTCTCATGGGCTTGTCACAAATATCAGAGGAGATACAGTTGTGGCCAATTGACAATGGAACTGCATTCTGGGATATATACCATTAGGCAACTTTTTTTTGATACATGACAACTTGGAATGTACTTTTAAAAACTCAAGTAGCTATAATATCATTAGCCTATAGAATAATACGGGGTCATTGTTACATCTGTAGCCCTTGGTTGACCACAGTTGACCTCAATAGTGTCCTGTGGCACATAGTTTCCAGCAGTTACGTTGCTGAGCTCATTTTTATTTTGCTCTGTATTGTCTTTTGATTATACAGGCTCTCATGTAGTCTAGGCTGCCTGCAAACTTGCAAAATAGCCAAAGATAATCTTGAATTCCTGCCTCTGCCTCCCCAGCATTGGTAATACAAGCATACAGTGCTATGCCCAGTTGTAAATTACTGAATTCTGTATCTGGCACACAGTAGGGGTTCTTTAAATGTTTATTCACCTTTCCTCACCAGGTGATGATGTGGACTAGGAGGGATTGCTGTCATATATTTAATCAAAGCCTAGAATAGTAAGCAGGGATTGGCACTGTATGAAAGGCTATAAGTGACCCTTGAATTTAAATAGATCATCCACATACAACATGAAAGTGGAGGTGATAATTTATCAAGGCCTTCTAGGGCATTTCAAAGAAAATTTGATTTAAAATTTTAGTTTATTCAATTTTCCCACTTTACTAGACCCTGAAAAGACACAATTAGATTAGAAGAAAAATGATATAATGAATACAAACCCATCCAAATGTGGCAATCACTTGTCAGTGAGCATGACCCAGGGTGCCATCCAACTCAGCCTGATTTCCCAGGAAATATGATTATTTTTAGTCTTAACTAGAGTTGGCCAGCTTGGTGTGTTTCAAAGTATGCGGTTCCTGCAGGCTAAGTGAGAGCTCTCTGGTCCCCAAATAACTCCAGGTTTGTCTCCTATTTCCTAGCATGTGCCTGGAGTTACCCGCAACCTGGCTACCTTGGAAGAGAAGATGTGAGAAACTGTTCAACCAACCCTCCGGTGAGGCCTTGGCCCCACCCCACATGTTCCGCCCACCTATCATTTTCTCCATCCCCTACTGGCCCAGTTTCTAGCCTCTCCGACTGGCTTTCTTCTAATTTCTGCACTCTGGGGCCCCTGTTTCTTAGTAAAGTCCATTAGCATTTAGCATCGGCTCAGGGTATCTAACATACCCAATATGGGTGCTCCACTCCTCAGATCCACTGATTTTCACAGCTTGTTGGCTTCTGCCTTGGCCTGGGGCTAGGGAGGCAAAGAGGGTGGATGATGAGAGAGACCGCTAGTGCTAGGCAGGAAATGGAAGCAATGAATATAGAAATTCTAGAGCAGTTGTTCTTAACCTGTGAGTCACGACCACTGGAAAACTTATTTCCAATGGTCTTAGGAACTGAGACACCACTCAGTAGCAAAACTACAGTTATGAAGTAGCAATGAAAATGTATGGCTGTGGGTTCCTGAGACCATCAGAAATGTTTGTTTTTCGATGGTCACGACCCACAGGTTGAGAACCAATGTTCTAGAGGGAACCTGAAGGAAACACAAAAGGATCAAGGGAGGAAACCAGTGGACTAGAAGATCTAGCTGAAAGGCAAAAGAGGGAGACCGAGGTTGGCAAATGGGACCCAAAGGGAAGAAGGTGGCCAGTTTCACAACTGGCCTCTAAAGTGATTGTCCCCACAACTGCAGAGGGTAAAGAAGTCTGGGCAGGGGTGGGCTCCAAAGTGTGAGGAAGCAGGCAAGCTCCAGTAGTAGTCTGAGCCACAGGGTAAACACAGAGAACATCTGCATGTAATAGCAATGTTAGAGGACCACTAGGGCCAGCAAACAGATGAGTAAGCCACAGCATTTTCTTTCTTTCTTTCTTTCTTTCTTTCTTTCTTTCTTTCTTTCTTTTTTTTTGTTTTTGTTTGTTTTTGAGACGCGGTTTCTCTGTATTGCTTTGGAGGCTGTCCTGGAACTAGCTCTGTAGACCAGGCTGCCTTGAACTCAGAGAGATCCACCTGCCTCTGCCTCCCGAGTGCTGGAATTAAAGGTATGTGCTACCAATGCCCGGTGCCACAGTATTTTCATATTCAAACAAATCTAGGTTCCTTGTTGAGGATAAGGCAAAGAAAACAAACAAATAAGAAAAAACATGGTTTTCATTTGAAAGATCAAACTCCCTCTAAAGAAATATCTGGCTTGAAAAGAATCTTTCTGAGAGATGTCACAAATGCAGAGTTACTCATTCACTCTCCAGTACTATTTGGAGTCAATAGGTAATTACTGGAAAAGTAGAGTTGCCTGATGAAAAACAGGACACTTGATTTCATTTAAATTTTGTGTGATAATAGTTTGGTATTAAAGGGTGCCCCAAGTAGTTCATGGAACATACTAATATTAAAATATGGCCCCTTGGGGAGGAGCTTGCTCCTGTCTCAGATTGTTGTGCCATGCTTTATTGATTCCCATGGGAGGCCTTACCCCATCTAAGTGGAGATGATGGAGGAGGAGTGGATGGGGAGAGTGGGAGGGAGGGGAGGACAGGGGAGGGAGGGGATATTGTGGTTGGTATTTAAAAGAAATAAAAAATGGTGAAATGGGAAAAATATGATCCCTTGCTTAACTGAAAGTCAAATCTAACCAGATAGGTGTCCTTTAACATTAACTCTTTCCACCAGCCACCTGAGTTCCGCTGCCATGTTAGGGCCCCCAAATAGCACACAGAGTCTTATATTAATTACAATGCTGCTGGCCAATGACTAGGATTTCTTATTTGCTAGCTCTGTCTTAAGTGTCAACCATAACCATTAATCTATATATTTTATAAAGACTTATCGAGGACACCAGTGGCATGCATCCTCTCTTCCCCAGGATCACATGGTGACCCTCCACTACATTTCCCAGAATTCTCCTTCTCTCTTAATCCCACCTAACTTGCTTCCCTATTGGCCAATAGTGCTTTATTTATCAACCAATAAGACAAACATATACCCAGAAGGACTTCCCCCATCATTGGCCTGTACTTTTGTTTATTAAATCTGGCAACTGCACTCTCAAGATATCCCAAAGGGACTGCCCATACCTGGCCTGGGACCAGGGATGAAACCCCTTTAAGTTTTCATCTACACATCCAGTGGACATTCCAGTCACTTAATTGTCACAAAGGGTCTTTCTTCGAGCTCTAAAAATCTCACTGTGTAGAACAGGCTGTCCTTGAATTCACAGAGACCCACCATTCCTCTGCCTAAGCCACTATACCTGGCTGAGCTCATTATTTTTGTTTGTTTTGTTTGTTTTGTTTTGTTCTTTTGTTTTTCAAGACAGGGTTTCTCTGTGTAGCCTTGGTTGTCCTGGAATTCTCTCTGTGGATCAGGTTGGCCTCACTCACAGAGATCCACCTGCCCCTGCCTCCCGAATGCTGGGATTAAAGGCCTGCACCAGTAAGGTTTGGCAACCCCAAGATTCTTAAATATAGTCTAAATACCCCTAAACTCACCCTCAGGAGAAGCTGAGGGCTCCCATAGAGGCAAAGCCCTGGGTATCATTTTCTTTAAGCAATGCATATGTTTGGGTGTCTTCCTGTTATCTGTCAGCACCTGCCAGTTACTGCGGCCAATACAACAATACAGCTTGCAGCCCTCCGCCAGTGGATGCAGGCCTGGAATCTCACTGCCTACATTGTCCCAGACACAGATGCACACATGGTAAGGACCAGCTCTGTTCTCTTTTGCCCTCTCCCTCTCCTATACTTGGGCTTATTGGCCTCTAAATACAAGCCCTAAACAAGAGGCTAGCAAGAGTTGGAAGCTGAAGACAGAGAAAGCATTTCACAGTGAAAAGCATGAAAATGGAAAGTTCAAATCCACTACTTTAAGGTCAACTGAAGGAACAAACCTCTTTTCATTAGAAGAAAAACAGGGCCAAATTTCCTTGACCTCTAAAAATGGCATTATACAAACAACTTTGAGGCTAGGGAGATGGCGTGCATACACACACACAGACACATACACACACACTTTAAAATTAAAACAACTTATGTTTGGGATATCACTGTAAATGGGCCTGGACGAATTCTAAGCTCCCTCCTGATCCAGGCTATCTCAGACCCTGCTGAGGGAAGCAGTGAAATGCCCCAGGGTGCTAAACTATACAAGTGTGGGAAGTAGACTGAGGGGAGAGAGCAGACAGAAAACAAGATGACTGTCTATATAAGACCTACTTTCTGGGCTGGAGAGATGGCTCAGTGGTTAAGGGCACTGACTGTTCTTCCAGAGGTCCTGAGTTCAATTCCCAGCAACCACATGGTGGCTCACAACCGCCTTGAATGAATGAGATCTGCATGCAGGCAGAAGACTGTATACATAATAAATAAAATCTTTTTCAAAAGACCCCCAAATAGCAGTGCTGCCTATCAAGCCCACTTTTTCCCACCGGCAGCTCAGCCTCTACCTCATCTAGCTCTTCACATCAACCCAACTAGAAGAAAAGGCATGTTCAAAGTCAATGTATCTGCTTCAATTAATTTCTGACCTGCTGGGATGCTTAAGAAGTTCGACTAAGTATCAGAGCTTCTTTCAGCAAAAATAACGATGTATCTCCGAGGGTGAGAATCAACACAAAGTCATCTCCTGTTATCTACAGTCCAAAAGAATGGCATAGTGTTTGCATATAATCCATTCATAACCTTCCATATGCTTTAAATCATCTCAAGAAGGCTTATAATGCCTAATACAATTCAAATACTATATAAATGTTACCATTTATATATGCTGGAGGAGTTACAGAGGCTTTCCTGGGAAGAAATGCCAGGTGTGGCAAGACAGGAAAAATTCAAGATGTATTCGGGACCTTCTACTTGGCATCTGACTCCGCGAAGAAAGTTAATGATGGTGTTGTTGATTTCCTAGAGTGAGTATATTGGCAAACACGATGAGAGGCGAGCATGGATCTCAGGCTTCACAGGCTCTGCAGGTAACAGCCATTCCCCCACTCTCATTTCTTCTGTTAGTAGACGTGAATTGATCGTAGAAGACCTGCAATGGCCAGTTCCTTAGCAACCAGGACCAAAGGCTGGTGTTCATTCTTCCCACGCCCATGAACCCAGCATGATCCCCAGGTTAAATATCTCATACCCCATGGCCACACTTCTGCATAGGAGCTGGCCCTCCTGGCTTCCTTCCCATGCTTTGTTGCCTCTGCCTCTGCCTCAGCCAGGCCCAGCACAGTGCTCCTTGGACCTGGTTTCTGAAGCAATTGCTACTTCCACATCTATTGACAAGAAACCTGATCTTTCTTTTACATAATAGCTCATTTGGGGATAAGGTTTTATAGGATCTTTTTTTTTTTTGGTTTTAAGAGACAGGGTTTCTCTGTATTGCTTTGGGGCCTATCCTGGCACTTGCTCTGGAGACCAGGCTAGCCTCAAACTCACAGAGATCCACCTGCCTCTGCCTCCCGAGTGCTGGGATTAAAGGCGTGCACCACCAACGCGCAGCGCTTTATAGGATCTTTTTTTACAGACAATGTCACTCTACATGGCCAAATGAGATATAAACCTGGAGGCTCTATTTGATGTCTCCGTTTCTGAAGGGCCCTCTTGTCCTGATCCTGTTCCCTTAAATACAGGCAGCTTCCTTTGTTGATCCTCACACATTCCTTCCTGAGCCTCAAGGTGCTCTGTCTTCCCCATTGTGAGCCATTATTCACTCTCCCACAGTTGTATTTGTCTTCCCCACCGATCCTCAGAACTAAAAAAGTTCTAAAGACCCTCTATAGAGACCTACATCACAAAACAGAGCTGGTTTGCTGGAGGAGCTCTCTCTGTAGGTTTCCCCCAAGTGTGCCCTTAACCTCTTCCAATGGAGGAGACAAGCTCATACTAGAGACCCTTGTGACCGAGTGAATACGACATTACACACCCAACAAAATCACACCCCTCACTTTCACCTTCATCCTCACCTCTAGACTTGTCTGCTCTGCTGTAGGCACTGCCGTAGTGACCATGGGGAAAGCAGCTGTCTGGACTGATAGTCGTTACTGGACTCAGGCTGACAGGCAGATGGACTGCAACTGGGAACTCAAGAAGGAAGGTAGAAGACCCATGTGGATTTGTCCCCTAGACTAGGTTTGGGCAAATACAGGTGAGTGGCTGTCCACAAGGCCATGCTTGGCCTCTGTTGGAAGTTCAGGAACTATGAGGGCATCTCTGATCTTTAAGGCAGATATAAAGAACACAGGCAGCTGGACTGTCACTGACAGAAGTGTGGCTATAGGGTCTGATGCTGGTCTGGGAAGTGACTTTTGTGTTCCCTCCCATCTTTTAGTTAGCATTTCTTCCATTGTCACCTGGATCCTTGCTGAAGTCCCTGCTGGAGGTCACGTGGGCTTCGACCCCTTCCTCCTCTCTGTTGGTAGGTTTTACTCTCGGTCTCTAGATTTGTTCAAGCTGCTAAGGAGGGTGGCTCTGCCTCCTGGGAGGTACACAAATATATTTGCTTACAAAGAGGGGCAATATGGCCACAGGGTATCTTGAAGTTGTGGCTGTAGAAATATTTTACAACAAAGAGAGATTCATGGAATACAAACTTCACAAATATGCAGAAAGCCAACCTAGAAAACTTGGAATAATTAGGATCCAGTGGGTAAGTAGGTCTGGATGTTCTTGACCCTGAAGCCATGCCTGGGTCCTGGGACACCAACAATTAGGGTACTTGGGATCTCTTTAAAGGCATTTTCTAGAAGGCAGCTTCAAAGTGTCAAAAGCGTAGAGAGGGCTTTTGAACAAAACAGGGTCCCATAGAATATAGTTCCCTAAATTCTGGGGCCCCAGACAGCTGGACAGCCTATACCATCAAAGATAGACTTCAGGAATATGCATCAAAAGACTCCTACCTCCAAATTAACTTATTTGTTAACTTATCCAAAACCCTGAACATCACTCTTCCTCTGAATGGTGACATTAATCCCTAATAATGGTTTGTACCTCAGAGGGACTGTCCCCAATTACTGACACTTTAAAATGACCAGATTAGGGTCAGAGGTATACTGCAGCGGTAGAATCCTTGCCTGGCATCCACAATCACAATTGAACCAGTCCTGGGTTCAATCCCAAGTGCTGGACTGAAGGTGGAGCAGAGAAAGGCAAGATTAGCTAGTTAACAATGGACAGCATCAAGGTGGGAGTAGTACAATTAGATTTGGAAAACAGAAAGAGACAGATGGAAAACACGCTGTCAAGAAGAGAGTTGTTTTTCAGAGGCCCAGAGCCTAGGGCAGACTTTGGACAGCTGGAGCCATAGGAGCCCAACAAAGGCAAGGCTGCAGGACTTTGCCTAGATCAGTTTTCCTTGAGTGGTAAATGGACAAGGGACAAGTGACTCCTTCCTATCTCTGCAGATTCCTGGGAGAATTATAATCTGGAATTCCAAGACTCCAACAGACGCCTGGTATCCGTTCCAACCAACCTTGTGGACCTGGCATGGGGGTCGGATAGGCCCCCAATGCCAAGCCAGCCCATTTATGCTCTGCCAAAAGAATTTACAGGTGATTCCATAAGTCCTTCCCAAACTGTACAAACAAGGGTCCCTCCTAGCATGGGTCCCCAGTGCTGCTGCCTGTTTTTTCTCCCTGAAAATGTCTTTAATCAAGGCAACAAAGTAATGGTTGACAAACTATCTGAGACGCTTGGTTAAAATGTAGAATTTCTTTGTCTCTGTCTCCTCACAGAGTTCAAAGGTGCTCAGACTATTTTTAGGCAATACTGAAATGAGCAGTATTAGGATTTGAAGAAAGAGACAGCAGAAGGGAGAAAACAGAGAGTTGAAGAAAGTTCAACAACAACAACAACGAAAACCCTTTCTTGTAAAAAATGTTTCAGGCTTGGTTTTTTTTTTTTGTTTGTTTGATTTTGTGTTTTTGAGACTTCAGTTGTTTTTGTTCTGTATATGGATGATTTGCCTGCATGTTGTCTGTGTATCCCATATATAAAGCCCTTAGGGAGTTCAGGAAAGGGTGTCAGATCCCCTGGGACTGGAGTTACAGATGATTGTGGGCCACTATGTGGGTACTGGGAATTGAACCCACATCCTCTAGAAGAGCAACCAGTGCTCTTACTGTTGAGCCTTCTTCAGTTATCACCCCAGTCTGCCCACCCCCCAAAACTACTTTCTTAAGGGGGAAGGCCCTCGTTCCTAGCTGTTTATCTGGTAGTGGAAACTGGTTGAGTCATTTGGCCCTTTACTTCTGGTTCTTCTCCAATGAGGAATTTAGATTTAGGACATGACTGAGTTGGACAGAAGTCAATGACTAAGTTCATTGTCAGTCTGTGGCAGAGAAGAGGGTTCAGGTTTTGGCTGGACCACAAAAGAAGATTAATTGACCCAGAAAATTCTAACATCTGTAACCATGACCTCATTGGCACCATCTTAATCTAATATAAAAGATCAGTTTGCATTATGGTTCTTTTAAACAATAACTAATCCTGACCAGGGCTAGGGGACCTATTAAGAATCAGGGTCTTGGTCACTGACTACTTTCACCTCCCTGGAAATTCTGAATGGGCCAGTGGAGGTGCATTTCTTGTCACATTGAGCAATCTGAGATGCCCCTTTCCACATACAACTCTACATATTATTTCTGATTTAGAAAGGGGCCAAGAAAACAGGGGGTGGGATTTCAAAATTGTGGCTATGATGAAACAAGTAGAATCAGTGTCCAGTTTCCTTATGTGTTCCAATGTCACTTGTGCACACCCTAACTTGGTTTTTAAAGAGACTGGTTATCTATGAGTATTTGATCTTAAAAACCACTCACCTTCCTCAAAGGCCACCATGGTGCCAGGGGAATGTGAAGATAAAAGGGTTTTGAAAGAATGGCTACCAGGGATTGGGACAGAATTCACATGGATTTTGTCACTAACCATGAGCTAGAAGATGCTGAGGCTTCACTAGTCTTCAAGGAAACGGGAGTCAGACTAGACAAAAGTGAATTTTCCTTATTTTCCATTACCAAATAAACAGCTAAGATCATGGGCATTCTCTCTTAAGACATTGCGGGGGCAGAGTGGTATGATTCTGAAGAGGGCTCAACAATAAGAGTATTGGTTGCTCTTCTAGAGGATGTGGGTTCGATTCCCAGCACTCACATGGCAACTCACAACCATCTATAACTCCAGTTCCAGGGGATCTGACACCTTTTTCTGGACTCCTCAAGCACTGTATGCACGTGACACACAGACAACATGCAGGCAAAACATCCATACACATACACAGCAGACATGGCTAGCATCTGGATCAATCAAAGTCCCAGCTTTGACACCCAGAGTAACCCTACTCTGTCCCCACATGGCTGAGGGCTTTTCCCTCCATGTGTAGGTTCTAAAGGAGCAAAGAATGGCAAATGAAAAGTTAGCCACCCACACGTCAGACCATTTGCGTGATTTTGTTTTCTCAAAATGAATCATTCACACATCTTTCTTTTCTGTGAGTTATAAGTTGCTGGTGTTTTCTGTTTTGTTTTTGAGACAGGGTCTTACTCTGTAGCTTAGGCTGACATTAAACTTCATATATTGTCTAAACTGGTCTCAAATTCATGGTGACCCTCCTGTTTCAGCCTCCCAAGTGCTAGGAGTAGAGAGTCATGAGCCACAATACCAAGTAATACTCATGAATTTTAATCATAATTTTAAGTGAAAGGAGTCAGATCTTGTATGATTTCATTTATATGAAACACCCAGCATTGGCAAATCCATAGAGACAGAAAATAGATTAGTGATTTCCTGGGGCTGGATGGGGAGGAAATGGGGAGTGACTCCTTAATGGGTACAAGGTTTCCTTTGGGGATGATGAGAATGTTTTAGAATTAGATACTGGCAATGGTTGCACAATACTATGAATGTACTGAAAGCCAGCTGAATTGTGTACTTTATGAAGGCCAAAATGATAAATTTTATATTATGTCTGTTGTATCAGAATAAAATAAACCTAAAAAGTATAAATATCCAAAGCTTTTAGTTCTAGTTGAGTAGTTTTACCTATTTGCATAAAGTTTTTAATAGCATTAAGTTATAATTTCTGTATCTGGGCCCAAGCAAGAGTCTTGATGCTCATGACATTCTGCCAATTTTTTCCTAGTGCTGTCTAGAAAGAGACTGTATATGCATTGTAGGAGGCAGAAATAGGAGATGAAAACTGAACTCCTGGAACCCAGATACATGCATTCTAAAAAGGACAGTACCGGACAAAATTTGAAGACCACTAAGACTGAAAATGCTAATAGGAGAGCTTAGTATTTGTACAGATTAGGACTGTGGGCCAGGCCCATCACACAGACATGAGTTCAGAGCTCAGCTCTACCCCTTCATCTCTGAAACTCTGGGCAAGTGATTTACCTTTTTGAAGCCTCACTTTCCTTGTCTGTAAAATGGAGCCTGTAAGAAGTAAAGCAATGCACAAGAAGTGTGTAGTCCAATATCTGTGCTCACTGAGTGCTGGAGTCACTGCAGGGCAAGTTAAACACAATCCCAGTCCTCTCTCCCTTTGCCCATCTATAGCAACTTTTCTGTTCCTTTCTTTATGTTTATTGACAGGGCAAAAGAAGCAGTGTGAGACCTAGCGAATGTCTTTCTACAGCTTTATAAATATCAATCATTTGATCTTTGTAGCAAACCTATTGAGGTAGATACTACTGTTATAACCCACCCTCATCTAACAGATGTGCATGATGAGACACAGGAGTGTCAAGTAATTTGCCCAATATCACACCTAGTTACTAATGGCAGAATGATTACTGGAGCCCTATCTGGGCCCAAGGCCCACATCATTAATAATACAAGTGTTTGAAGATAAAATTCTACTGCTTTTGGAAGCACGGAAAGCTGGAGTAGTTCAGTCATAGAGCACTTGCCCAATGTTCAAGGCCATTGGTTCCATCTCCTCCATCAGAAATAAAGGAAAACTACTACCCTTCGGGAGTTTCCCAGGAGCCCTGCGCCAAAAACAAAGCGTGTCACTCAGACTTTTTTGGGGGTTCCTTTTCTTCTAGGGAGCACTTGGCAGGAAAAAGTATCTACCGTCCGAAGCTATATGAAGAACCATGCCATGGCTCCAACTGGTCTCCTTCTATCAGCACTTGACGAGACAGCCTGTGAGTGGGGATTTATGAATGCAAGTGGCTCCTATAGTCCCAAGTGTCTTGGGCCTTGCAGCATATAGCTCATCCTGAAATAACATCATATTCACCAGCTGCTATGAGCTCCATGGTCATGGCCCATGGGAACTCAGAGGGATCAGAAAGCAGCCGCTCAGGGCTGCAAAATAAGGAGGCCAGGCACTCGAGAAATGGACTGACTGGAACAACACAGTGATTCTATCTCCTTAGGGGGAAGAAGGCCTGCAAAGCCACCAGCAGCCCTGGCTGTTATCCGGGCCACTCAAAGTCCCAACTTTGATACCCAGAGTAACCCTACTCTGTCCCCACATGGCTGAGGGCTTTCTGCTCAGTTCCTATGGCTGGGCTTCAGACATTTGGAGGATGCACCAATACTGTGTGCTGAATGTCACCTATCTACATTTTATGGGGGAGACACCCATAGCTCTCTTCAGCATCTCAAAGATCCCTAAGAAGATTGAGAAGCAATCAGAGGCAAATACCACAAGTAATCTTGAGGCCAAAGCAAACGGGGGGGGGGGTGGTTTGCATAGGTATCAGAAATGCCTGTCCCCATGCAGAATAGCCTCAAAAAGTCTCATAAATCCTTTTTTCCAGGGCTCTTCAACCTTCGTAGTGGTGACATCCCCTACAACCCCTTCTTCTACTCATATACCCTGCTCACGGACTCTTCTATCAGGTACAGCTTCTCCTTGGCTTACTGTTGTGACTTGTTCCCAATTTCACTCTAGCCAGTACCACTGACCTTACAACCTGCAGGTGCTCATGGCTTTGGGTGCCTGCCACAGCAGACTTCTCTAGGAGACCTCCCAATGGCTGTTCTCAACCCCTTGACTTTTGGCTCTCTCCTGTGGCTTTTGGAATCAAAAGACTGGCATACGCCTCTGGTTCCTTGTGTTGTCCTTAGCAGATAGGGTACTCAGGACCCTCCCTGTCTTCCCTCTCTACTAGGTTGTTTGTCAACAAGAGTCGCTTTAGCCTGGAGACGCTGCAGTACCTGAATACAAGCTGTTCATCACCCATGTGTGTGCAGCTTGAGGACTACAGTCAAGTTCGTGACAGTGTGAAGGCCTATGCCTCAGGCAATGTAACAATCTTGATTGGGCTCAGCTATACCACCTACGGGCTCTATGAAGTGATACCCAAGGTAGGTTTGCCAGTCACTGAGCACCTTCTGTTCCTGGCATGACAACTGTCAACTTAAAATAGGTTCCCTCAGCCATTGGGCCAGCAAATGTGCACTGTGTATCCTTGCAGGCCTCACTGAGAGAAGACTGAGGAAGAGGAAGGGGAGGAGGAGGAGGAGGAAGAGGAGGAGGAGAAGGAGGCAGGGGTATCTGTCCACAGAGCCTGTATAGCCATAGAAGCTAGACAAAATACAGCCTGATCTAGAAGAAGCTTTAGAGTCAGCTGAACCTGATACTGACTGGAGCTCTTTTCCTAAATGGTCATGCAGTGACCTTAGATAAACGGCTCCTTCAGTCTAGATCTCTGATTCTTTAAAATGGCAATGACGCTGAATGCCTCAGGAGTTGCTGTGTGAGATTCTAGGAGATAATTCTCGTGAAGTCCAGGGGCTGACATCGTACACACTTGGGATTTGGTAACTGCTCTGATACATACAAGACACTCATGCTGCTAGAACAGCCTGTCGATTGTAGCATGCCAGGCCTGACTGCTGGTACTAGGACAATATTCATCAAGGAAACTTGCATTGGGGAGATGAAGAAAGACCTGCATATCCAGAAAGTAGCCAAAGGAGAGGGCATGGCCATGAAAGAGATCAGGGAGTCTCACAGTCTCACCCTAGCTGGGTCCTCTCTGCCCTTTGTAAACACTGCTCATCCTGGATAGTGCTTCTAGTCCATCTTTTGGTCTGTGCTTCCAACAGGAAAAATTGGTGACACAGGAATACTCCCCAGTAATGTTAATGAAGGCTGTGAAGAACAGCAGGGAACAGGCCCTCTTGAAGGCCAGCCACGTAAGTCCCCAAAGTCCCCATGGCATGGCTTTTTGGGAGGTCTGATTCGTTAAGCTTCCAGAGAGAAGCCTGAGGAAGACTCTCAGTGAAAGCAAGGAGCATACAACAAACATCTATATTTATATCAATATATATGTATAGATATTTACATGTGGTGGTGTACATTGCTTTGAGCACTGCCTGTGTTAAACGAGCTAGCTGTAATGATTTCCTGCCAGGCAATGGGATAGCTTACTTTTTGGAATACTCTTAACATTAGGATTAAAGACCTCATTTTCAAAGAATTTTTTTTTTCGAGACAGGGTTTCTCTGTGTAGCTTTGGAGCCTGTTCTGGCACTGGCTCTGGAGACCAGGCTGGCCTCGAACTCACAGAGATCCGCCTGCCTCTGCCTCCGGAGTGCTGGGATTAAAGGCGTGTGCCACCAACGCCCGGCGAAAGAATTTTTCGTTAAGAAAAAATTTTAGCATACACTACAGTAGAGAAAATAGCTTAAGATTCCCATTACCAAGCTTCCACAATCATCAAGTCATACCCAATGCTGTTTCCTCTGTGAACACCTCCTCCCATGCATGACCCTCCTCCCCCTACCCTTGCTGCTGGATTATTTTAAAACAAACCC